GCTGCGCCGATCCGAAGCCAGGAGCCAGGAGCCAGGAACCAGGAACCTCCTCCAGGTCTCCCACGTGGGTGCAGGGTCCCAAGGCTTTGGGCCGTCCTTGACTGCTTTCCCTGGACACAGGCATGGAGCTGGATGGGAAGAGGGGCTGCCGGGATTACAATTGGTGTCCTTATGGGATCCTGGCGCATTCAAGGCAAGGACTTTAGCCACTAGGCTACTGTGCTGAGCCCACCAACGAATTTTTTAAGGTAAGAATTTTGAAAAACTATTTTTATTGGACAGATTTACAGGAGACAGAAAGATCTTCATCCCGCTGGCTCACTCCACATGCAGCCACGTGGGATGCCGTTACTTGCGGGCCAAAAATTAGCCAGCTGAGCCGATCTGGTCCAAAGGTAGGAATTCTTAAGCAGGGTCCAAGAAATTGGGCAAGAAACAAACAAACAAAAAAAAAACCTCTTCACTCCCCTGAACTAAAATTTAACGTTTCAATTACAAATTTACAAATGTAAGAAACCCAGCCCGGGCTCCAGGAAGCCTGGCATTTACAGGGTGCTGCTAGAACAGCCTACCTAAGTTTTGTTATTTAACAAAGCAGCACGTGGTTTCTGGTTCCTATTCTAATGCAGTTTATTTCCTTGGTAGGCAGAGGTAGTTTACGCCTGGAGACACATTATGTTGAGAAGGAATCCCCGGCACACAAAAAGGTTAAGCTCCCCTGGGCGAAGGACCCAGCAGAGCAGCTCCCAGATAATTTACTGCCTGAACACCAACCCTACCAGCCTGCCTCGCTGTATACACAAGCTAGCCTCTTGTGTCGCCTAAGACACCAGCAGCATCCCACTTGAGTCTGAGAACAGAAGCAGCTCTGTTTGCCGGGGCAGTAAAAAGCACTTCGGCACCCAGACCACCACTGACCGGTGCCGGAGCCGTGTTTGCTGAGGGGTGAGAGGCCTCCTATGAACAACTGCAGCTGTGCCTAAGTTAACCCCAGAGGAGGAGCGAAAGGGGAAAAAAAAAACCCCACAGTTCAGAGATCTCAGGGCAAGGCATCCTCCACTGGCCACCCCACCCCCACCCCGAATTTTAGGAATGTTATCTCCCAGCATCTAGTTATCCAGTAAGTAGGAAGAATGCCGTAAACCCAGCAGGGGGCTTAAATTCAATCACTGCCAAGTGGATAGAAAATACTGACTATTGTATAGAGAACGTTAATCTAGCAGAGGCCAATCAAAATCTGGAGACACTAAAACGCTTAAAAAAATAAAACCTGTATATCTTGATAAAAGCATTACAGCCTCAAGCTTATCTTTTTTCATTCCCATATTGGAAGAATGACAATGGGCAGATTATCTAAGACACACAACACAGTCCCTTCCCCCACTCCCAGGAAAACCGCTTACCAAAAAAACAAAAGGAGACGAAGCCCCCATTCCTAATGGCGCTTTTACCTCCTCCAGTTCAGGGGGCAACTCAGCCCAGAAACGGGGGGGGGGGGGGGGGCTTGATGTGAAAGAAGAACTGGCTTGCAAAGAAGGTGGGACCTCCCCAGTTATCCAGGCTATGGTGATGTCACGTTCTGTCTCATCCACAGCTATCTCTGCAGAAATTTTGCAAGCGCCATAAGGGCCTATGGCCGCGATTTTGTTATCTGCTTCCCCACAGCAGCTTAGAACAAAGCTTCAAACACAGAGCTTCCTTGGTGATGGAGGGGGGAGTACTAGAGTTACCAGTTCAGCCAACATTTCGAAAACACGCTTTCTGGAAAAATGCAGCAGCAGCTTCAGCCTAAGCAGAAAAGGAAACTTCAACTCCTCGGCCCCATCACTTTCTTTCCAGTGTTAAGCTCAGAAAAGATAACCAGGCAGCCATTATTTCATTGCCAACTTGCACATCTGAAAAACGACAGGGGCGGAGACAGCAGCCAGCTTGGCCTGGCATGAGGCGTGGCTCTTGGAAGATGGGGACGGGGCAGAATCCCACCCATCTTTGGGCCCTGACTTTGCATACAGACCCCGGCCCAGGGCAGGGAGACAACCAAGCCGCAGGGGACACGGAGGGACAAACCCTCCAACAACCAAGAGCTGCCAGGAATTCTAGAGGTGAAGCCCCCCCCCCCAACGCGGCCTGGTGCCTGGCACACAGGATAAGCTATTGTCTCCGAGGAAATATCCTAATTGGCAGCTCAACACCAAATAGGCACAATATGTAAGCAAAACGGAAAACACCGTTTTCAACAAAAACCCTTTACTAATCACATTCCCGACACACAAAATGCCCTCCACAGTGAGAAAGGTGTCTTATATAAAACCCCCCAAAAAGCTAGAGGGTGGGGAAGGGAGGAGGAAAAAAAAAATCAAGTTTCAAGGTTACTCAGCTGAAAGTCACAGAGCTAGATTGGAATGCAGATTTCAAAATACCCACCTTTCAGAGCACACAGACGCTTCAACATTTCAAAACCAACAACTACCTCCGGGTCCCCGGGGTCTCCCCCAGAGCCCCACACCTCCCAGGCACTCAATACTGTATCTGCCTCCTTACCAGGGGGAATGGCTTTGACAACGCTATTTATTTTTTTATTAACACACGGGGCAGTGGGCTCACAGGAGTCCCTCACCTTTTTGGGAAACCACAAGTCCACGAAACTAACGCTGGAGCCCCAACAGCAGCAGGTCACTTTAGCCCGGAAACTGGGGCTAGAAGTTCCTCGAAATTTGGGACTCAAAACGTCCATGCTGTAATCCAGTTTATCACAAAGGGCACTTGAAACTTTTGAGAATAAACGCTAGTTTTCTGTAGGGTTGGTTCCCACCCCCTTCCTGACCACCTGCCGATTTTATCTAATTGATAGCCAGACTCCATTTTCCTAAGTTCTTAAACTGTCTTTTTTAAGTGGCTTGGCAAAAAAAATGCCAGCCCAATCTCAAGTAAGGGTAATATATATGTGTGTATATATTTATATACACACAAAAACATATACATACACACATACATGTATAGGAATATGACCAAGCAGGCATGCGACAAACAGCCAAAACGCCAATCTGAAAAAACGCACTGCTTGGGGAAACGACGTTCCGTCCCACAGTGGCAACCGGGGCTGTGCACACGCGCTCTGGAACCGGCAATTCCTTCCAAGAACTGCAAGACCTCGGGCCAAGAAAGGCAGGCCCAGTTGGCAGCGGCGGCCAGCGGGAGTCCCCGGGGACGCAGCTTCGGGGCTCGGCCCAGCACTGCCCCTCACCAGGTGGGGTCACTACCTGCGCGGGGACCCGCCTCCCAGACCTGGGTCTGCAGGGGGCGCCCGTGCGCCACGCTCCCGCTCCCAGCCGGCCGGTGCGCCCGGAGCGCTCGGTGCCCGCAGCGCGGTGGGAGCGCACGGCGCGGCCGGGACCCCAGCCCGGAGCAGGTCAACCGCAGCGGCCCGCAGCGCGCATCCCCGACGCCCTCCCGCCGCGAGCTCCCCCGAACCCAGCCAAGCACCACCCAGAGACTTACTGGCGCGCGCCTACCCCAAAATGCAAGGGGCGGGGGGGTGTGTGGAGGGAGAGGAGGTCAGAGCAGGACCAGAGGAGGGGTCAGAGCCAGGAGCTCGCCCCTCCTCTCTGGAGGAAGCGGGCGGGCCGAGGGTTAACCCTTTTGTTCCAGGTGGGCCAGGCGACGAAGCCCCTCCGTGCTCCCCCCACCTCCCGGCCGAGGCACAAAGAGAGTCCCGTCCGGACTGCTGGGGCCTGGGGAGCGCGCCCCCTCGGTCAACCCCACCCGCCTGCCTGGTTTGTCCCAAAGTAACGCTATCTAGAGAAAAAAAAAAAACAGGGACCTCGTTGACCTATTGCAAACTTTGGGGACTCCTCGCCACAAAGGTCGCGCGCGTCCTCCCGGGAACGCCGGGGCTCCGCGGAGCGTGTGCCGGTCCCGCGCGCACCCCGCCGGTGGTCCGCAAAAATGGGAAACCAGGCGGGGAGCGGAGGCAAGGAACAAGGCCGGGCAGGTTAAGGGATGTCCCCTCCCCCCACACTGCAAACTTATCAGGCGACAATTTGGCGGGACTAAGAGGAGATAGTGGGAGACGGACTTGCTTCGGAGCCGCCTCGACTAAGCGCCTGCCCCGCGCGCCAGGCCGGGCCAGGGTCCCGAACCCCTTTCGGGCGGCCTGGGAGACGCTAGCCGCGGCAGCGTGGACCAGGTCACCCCCCGAGCGTGGTCAACTCGCCCCGGTCCGACCCTCCCCTTCCACCGCCGCGCGCGCTCGAGGAGAAGCGGGCGCCCCGAGAACGCCGGGCGGAAAGCGCGGTGCAGGGGCTCCCCCGGGGCTCGGACCCCCTGGGGCTGGCCGCGGTTATTTTTAGGAAGTCGGAAATCAAAGATGGCTGGAGGTCAGGCCCCGAAAGGTTAGGGCGATCGGCAGGCGGCGTAGCCCCAGGAGGGAAGACGAAAAAAAAAAAAAAAAACCCTCAAAACGGGAAGCAGCCATGCCCCCCGGCCCCCACCTCTGCAGGCCCTCCAGCTCCTCCGCGGCGCGGGTGGCCCCGCACCCCGGCTCCCGGGAGGGAGAGGTCGCGTCCCCTCCCCCACCGGCCCCCTCCGGAGAGCTCTCCCGGGGTGCGCCCCTCCTCCAGCCCCCTAGAGAAGCCCCCGAGGGTGGGGGTGACTTTTGGGGTCTTGCAGGGGAGGGAGGGGGGGATACGAGTTATGGGGGGAGGTAGCAATGAGGGGAGTGGAGCCACTTTGGCGAGGGGGGTGGAAGAGGACGAGGCGAGGGGGCCGCGCCGGCGGAGAGACTGGGGTGCCCTCGCCCGAGTGGGCAGGAGCGGGGGGCAGGAACTCACACGAGGGGGAGGAGAGGAAAAGTGTGAAATTCGCGGGGCGCCGGAGCGGCCGGCGCTCCGAGCCCGAGTCCGCGCCGGACGCCGCAGGGCCCCGCAGCCCCGCGCCCTCGAGGGTCGCGCCGACGTCCGGGAGGCGCCGCAGCCCGCGGCCGGTCCTCTGGCCGCACTCACCCGGTTCCCCCGCCGCCGGCGCCGCTGGGGCCGCATCTGCAAACTCCGGGGCCGGCTGCTGCGGCGGCTGCTCGCCCTGGTCCTCCTCCGAGTTGATGTGCTGCGGCTTCGCCTGCTTGCGCCTCGACATGGTGCGGGCATCGGGGCGCAGGGAGAGCCGCGCGTCCTCGCCCTCTCCGCCACAAATTCCTGGAGTTGGGAAATTTACCCCCCTCCGGCCGGAACGCGCATGTCCCAGTAATTATTATTATCAATAATGCATTGCGATTTATCATGAGCCCTGACAGCTGATTGGCCTGGGTCCAGGACCTCAGAGATCATTTAAATAAACCCTCATTGATCAGGGAGGGGCGAGGCATTCTGGGCTTTGTAGTCCGGCCCTACATGTGACAAAGGCGTGTTCATCAGGGGAGCGCGGCTAATTAGCATCCGAGCTCAGATTGGCTGGGGCGTGGGCGAAATCAGAGGGGACCCGTCCTCGCCCGGGCCGTCCGAGGGTTGGGGGAGGGGGAGGTGACCAGCCACGGGCGCACGTACAAGTTTGGGAACGCCTGGGTTGCGTGGCGAGTCCCAAACTCTGCTTTTGTAGGCTTAGTATCCTGCAGCCGGCGAGGGGGTTGTCTTCACTGTGGCCCGATTTGGTTCAGTTTTGACATCCGCCCCCCTGCTGCCCCCAAAACCCTCCACCGAAAAAGCCTGAAGTGTGACCCGTATGTCTCGCATCTTTTTTTTTTTTTTTTTTTTTGACGGAAAATGTTTACATTGAGCTTCGAAGGCTGAGGAAAGGTGAATTGCCGGTTTAGGCAGCCTTACCACCCATCTTGATTCTTAAAGTGGCCTGCGAATTTACCAGATTTAATATTACCCTTTCACCAGGATCTGACTTCCTTATGTGCAGGATACCAGCCCCGCCCCAGGATTCACAGTCACAAAGTTTGTTGCAGACCTAGATTTAAAATTTTTTTGCAAATGACTGGCTACCAAATATAGAGAAGGCAGATTAAAAGCAAGCAGAGAGATGGGCCGATAATATTGAAATGGCAAGCAGTTGCATTTTCCCCACAGGCCATACGCGCCTGATAACATCGTATTTTATTGCGGAGACAAAGCTCTCGGATCTTCCATGAAATAGCAGGAGACCATCAGAGTAACTGGGAGTTCCTGCTCATTATTGGGATTTTTTTTTTGGCCATACTAATTTTATTACAGAAATATCTGTTCAAAGAGAAAGGTGTGCGGGTGATCTCTGAGTGTCTCTCTCTCCATTATACCATGAGTCCGCACGCCTTTAATTCGGCTCTCGCCCTAAGTCTGCTGAACGGCAGCCTTCTGCCTGTCTAGTGCTTGGTGCTTCCATCGTGCCTCCAGATAGGAGTCGTTATTTCGCATTTGCTTCCTTGTCGGGACTGAGCGAAGCATGAACCTTTCCTCCCACTTGGGCACGGTGTTTTCTTGATGAGTTATTCGTCAGGCTCCCAGCTTGTAGGAGTTGTGTGTTAGCTAATAAGGAATGCGAGCCCAGAAATCTGTTCACCTGGGAGACATCTTGGGACAACAGAGGAAGCAGAAAATAAACGAGCATCATCATCTTTTCGATATTCACAACCGTCGGGAGAAGCCAAGAAAGGCCATCTTGTGGTTTTTGAGTGCAAACTGCGTTGTTTTATGTAGACCCCGAAAGCGAGAAGTACAGCCAGCCACCATGTTGGGAAGCTTTTAGGATTCCTTTTAATAATATGTGGGAAATAATGGTACAGAGGAATACTTTAGAATTCTGACTTTGAGTTAGAAACAAAGTCAGTTAACACCTGTCCTGCTAACTAATCGACTGATATTCTCAACACCTTTTCTGGATAAAGTAGGAGACACAGCTTTACATTCTAAACAAGTGTTCAGTGGCTCTACAGCCCAGAGGGCAGGAGGGTAAGGCAAACTTCATTGAAGTTAGAGTTTTCTTTTGTAGGTGACAGTTAAAGTCTGTGAACCATTTCTGTTAGGACCAGGGAATGGTGCTGTTTACATCTTCAAGTGGTAATAATAGCGCTGGAGCCCCCCCCCCCCAGGAGTCTCCCACCAGGGTAAGGAGGAAGCCAGGACGAGTATTGGATCCAAGCACGCCCTCACGGTGGTTTCTCTCATTTTGAAAAAGAGCAAATGGAGGCATAAGGACATGAAATGACTGGATTAAGAAGTGGTTTGAGCAGGTGGTCAGTTCCTAAACCCTACTTTAGGATTTTTTTTCCCATGACATTCTAATAGTTATTATCCAGCTATGCCTAAATACAGACATCTCAACGAGAAAACGGCTGTAACAAACATTAATTCTCTTCTCCCCCGAAAAAACAAAACACCTCTCACCCCAACAGATGATTTTCAAGCTAATTGCTCACAAGTGGAAACCTTGACGTCATGAATGCCATGCTCGGGGGCCTGCCTCTAATTGGAGAGCTGCACCCAGGAGCTAGTCAAAAAGTCAGACAAGATCTCGGGTAAATGCAGGGTGTTGGAGGAGAGGGCAGACCCTAATCCAATGTTATTGTCTGATGAGTTAATGAAAGTTGTTTCTGCACTGCAGGGTGGGGCAGAGCGTGAAAAAAGGAGATATGATGAGACTAAAGGACCATCCAAGGTCTTCCATATTAAAGCCTTTTGTTAAGTCACTGGCTCTATTAAACACAAACAAACACAAACACAAACACAAACACAAACACACACAATCTCTTCGATGTTTGTACCAGACAGGAATCTGCAGGGAGATGTACTTCAAGGTTTGGTCTCTTCAGTCTGAATAGATGCTATACTCTTCATCAGGAGACTTGGGGTGCAGAATGCTAAAATCCATTTTTATTCCCATTTCATTGGTGAGAAGATGGAAGCTCACAGCTCCTCTCTGCTCCTTGGGGTCCTAAGAGACGCAGGCCGGATGATGCACCCAGCAACTTCCCAGGGCAGAGGTCTCAGTGGGTGACTTTCCCTGCAAAACCCCACTCCACCCCTCTCCTCCCTCCGCCTGGCCCCTGCCTTGGTCCCAAGGCTCCAGTCTCAGTTAACCGTCTTCCCTCATCACAATGTGTCCAGCTTGGAGAAGCCCCATCTTCCCTTATACAGCGTGCACCGTAGTTCAAAGTGCGCAAGGACAGATTTAGTCGTGTTCCAATTGAAGAAGGTGCGATTGTACAATGGTAAGAGCCACACGCACTCAATAGAAACTAGACTTGGGGATTTGTACCTCATCCAGTCCTTCGGCCAGCCACCTGCTCTCTGTCTCTCCGTATTGGGCAGCCAGATCACCAGGGTAGACAGGTGTCACTCTGTGTTTTCAGATACTATATTGGGTAGCCTTCACATCGCATAGTATGTAGAAACGCCCATCCGTGTCTCCTGCTGCTGGTGCCAGTGTATTTTTGATAAGATATTTTGCATGGATGGATGGATCTGTCAGAACATGGACCCATCCCTTCAGGGAATGTCTATGTCTGTCTATGCTTGTCTCCAAGGGCAGAATCTTCCCTCCTGTACCCTTTAGTCATGAGACACAGCCAGGAAGCCCAGAGGTTGCCCTCCATAAAAAGTGAGTCAATGATGAGTGACCTGGGGAGCCTGAACATGAAGTGTCCAGGCAATAACCACTTTAAAAACTAGCATGTCAGCTTTCCCCCCAAAAATTGAAAACAGAATTACCCTCCTATCCGGCAGTTCCACTTCTGAGCTTCCACCTAAAAGAACGGAGAGATATTTCTATCTGTGCTCATGGCTAAGAGTGGAAGCAAATCAAGTCGCCATCCACGGATGAATGGGCGAGAAAGATAGGATATATATTTGTTTATTTATATTTACACAGTGGACTATTATTTAGCCTTAAAAATGGAATTTGTATATGTGCTATCAGAGGCAAATGCCCCCTGAAGATAGTAAGCAAAATAAGCCAGTCACAAAATGAAAATATTGTCATTCCACCTAGATCAGAGCCCCAGATATACAGAGACAGAGAACAGAGCGGCAGTTTCCAAAAGTTGCTGGCAGGTGATGGGGAGTTACTATGTAAGAGGTGTGGAATCAGTTTTGCCAGATGAGAAAAGATCCAGTAAATGAGATTTGAGCTGATGTCACACACACTAAAATGAGAAACCAGAAGACAATGAGATGTTGGATATGTGAATGAGCCCCACAGGTGTAATCTTTTTCCTGTCTACCAGGGTCCCACAACGCCACCTCGCATGGCTCCAGTCAGGTCCACAACACTTGGTCTTTGAGCCTGAGTTCTTGGCCCTTGCCTCCCACAGGGGAGACCCAGATGGAATCCAGGGTACCTGGCATCAGATCTCCCTCCTGGGTCCTGCCCAAGCTGCTGCACCATCTGCGGGGTGAACCAGAGGATGAAGGATTCTCACTCTCCCTGTCTCTTCCTTCTTGTAATTCTGACAACCAAATAAATATATGAGCTTTAAAAACAAAACAAGTATCAACTTAAAAATTAACCTGTATAGATTTATGGAATGTGGAATTCTGCAAATGGTTGCCTTGGCAGGGTCAGACCAAATGTTTTCCCAGGGGCATTAGCAGAGAGCCCAAATTAATGATTTTGTACGGCCTGTGAATGATGTTATAAATATCCAAATGCAATAAAAGGGTTCCCAATCTCACCTTAAATAGACACAACAGAAATTTCTTTCTCTAAAAACAAAGGGGGGATGGGTGGGATTTGGAGGGACCAGGATTGTGGTACTGTAGGTTAAATTACCATCTGCAAAGCTGGCATTCCATGTGAGCACTGGTTCAAGTCCTGGCTGCTCTGCTTCCATTCCTGTTCCCTGCTAATGCGGACGATGCCCTCGGACTTCTGCTATCCACACAGGAGACCAGCATGGAGCTCCAGGTTTCAGCTTACCCGGACCTGGCCACTGTACCCGGCTGATGGAAGGCTCCTTCCTCTGTCTCTCCTGTCTTTCAAATGCATAAAATAAATCGTTTTCAAAAGGAAAGGGATAGACAATGGATTACCTGAATGGGAGTGCATTTAACATTATTTAAATATGCCAACTTTCATGTGAAATATATTTTATCATAGTTGAAAGAGAAAAGGTGGGTCTGGCGTGATGGCTCAATTGGCTGATCCTCGCCTTGCAAGCA